TTTATCCAGTGTACCCAATGGATATGTACAAAATGTGCCTGATGTACAAAATACTGTATACTCAATGTACCAAATGTATTCCATATACCCAATACACACAATGTCCTTAATGAAGCCAATGGACCAAATATACACACTTTACCTTATGTACCTATTGTACAAAATGTACTACATGTACCTAATGTGCCCAATATACTGTACCAGTGTACACAATTTACTCATTTCACCCAATGTACTTAATGTGTCCAATGAACCCAATCAACCCAAAGGACAGAAATATACCCAATATACCCAATGTCCTCAATGTACAGTACACAAATTCCAATGTACTCAGTGTACTCAATGTACTCATTATACAGTACCTAATGCACATGGTGGACACGTCTGTTTGTACATAAATAAACATAACTGCAACATTGTGGTCATGACAGAAACTGTCTCTGACCCTGATATCAACTCATCAGTCTTACTGTGTTCATTTTACCTCCAAGTGAGTTTCTTCAGATGTTTGTTACTGTGGTCTATATTCATCAGGAAGCTAACGTGTTTAGGGCACTGGAGAGAATCGCCCAGACTTTTCAGCATTTTCAAAACAACTTTCACAATAGTGCCAATTTCATCATGGGAGATTTTAAACACTGTACCCTACTAAAGTCACTCAAACATTTTCATTGGTACAGTATGTTACCTGTCCAACTTAGCATAATAGGGTATTGAACTTGTGTCAATTAACAGGTCAGTTAAGGACGTGTACAAATTCACTGCTAATTTTCATCTGAAAACAACATGGTGTATTTGGTTACGACCTACAAGACAGCCCTGCAGAGACATACCTGTATAGTAGAACCCAGGGTGGTTCGAGTCTGAACCAAGGACTCACAGTGACTGTGGGACTGCAATGAGTGCACTGATTGGGACATGTTTAAGCTTTCAAATTCTGATCTTGATGAACTGACAGATACAGTTATTAGTTATGTAACATTTTGTGCAAATACTGTTATACTTATAAAAGCTTGTGCTGTGTTCTCTTGGATGACAAAATCTCACACGTCGGCTCCAAAAAAACACAGATTTTACTAAGGAGGTGTTGTTTTCAGTATGGAAGCTCAAAAGAAACAAAAAGGTAACTCAAAAGTTAAAAGAGAGATTAAGTTGGCTAAATTAAGGCATAAAGATAAAGTGAATTGTGAAATGAGTAAAGGTAATTCATGCTCTGCATGTCAGGGTATCAAGAGTATTGAAGAGGTGTGCTAGATACTGTAGCTGTTATTTTTATTTTATTTTATAAATGTAATTTCTTTAGCAAAATGTTCTTAGGATCTGGAAAGAATCAGTTGTGCTCCCTTTGGCAAAGTTCATATCTCCTAGTTCACTCAATGATTATAGGCCACTAGCCCTCACCTGTAATGAAAACAGGGTCAATTAGACCCATTTCAATTTGCTTAAAGGGCAGGTAGGGGTGTGGAACAAGCTACAGTATGCCTTTTTAACTTTGTTCTCCAGCATCTTGAGGAAAATAAAACTCATGCTAGGTTGCTTTTTGGGGATTATTCTTTAGTATTTAATTGTATTCAACCATAATCACTGGTAACTAAACTATTGATTTATTTTACTCTTAATCTTATGATCTGGGTTACTGATTTCCTTACAGATAGTCAACAATATTGTATCTAACGAACAGTATTCTTCTAGTGCAAACGAAGTTCTCATTTAAAACTGTGGCACTAACATTGCTTATGGCATGTGTGTATTGTTATTTTTGTTTTTTCTTTATATTGTCCGCTGCTGTAAAACAAAATGTCCCTTGAGAATTATAATTAATATCTCACTGTTTCTCATCTTTCAAGACAGACCCAGATGAGATTCTTGGATCAATTGCCTAATAGCAACAAAAAGAACTTCAAGACTTCCTCTCATCTGCAAAGTTTATGTTATTATATCTTTTGAAACTCTCTACTGTATATTCTTTTTCAACTCACTTTGGAAATTGTAAGCCTACTTAAATATTGAGTGCCTGGTACAGTATGTCCTTGATATCGTATGATTTCAGTTCAATATTTTGTTATCAAAGCAATATTGCTAATCAATTCTTAAAACACACAACACATCTATCTGCTTACTGTTTTAAAGTATACTGTGTATGTGCCAAAACAGCTTCTGAATTAACAATGGTGTTTTACAGTATCTACTTATACTACCACCTTCCATTGATTCAATGCTGTCATGAATTTTTTGAGACCTCACAGCGTTCTCAATGCAAAAACAGTAGTCTAGTACACAAAATACAGAACCATATTCTTAAAAAGAATCCAAGAGATGGGGCAAAAGGAGTCATTGCATCTATCAAGTGTCAGGCAACATTACAGATATGGTACCTTTAACCACCATTTTTGACAGTTAAATTGGTCCCATTTAGCTCAAAAGAATAGTGGCAGCCATTACAAAGCTCTTACTAGATGTGGTATGTGTTAAGCTTTGTAATACATCATGGGTTATGCCACTTAATGTTTGCGATGATAGATTTCTCAGAAATGGGTGCTAACGCTTAAAGTTCAAAATAGCAGAAACAGATCTGACCACAGTACTTTATTTCACAACATGTAGGCTGTTGTACTGACTTAGCACCTAACATATCAATGTCAACTCCAATGGATTGAAAAAATGACCCCTCGTATTAAATATTCTGCTGCTGAGACCGAGCATTGAGCAATAGAGCTATGGGACATATGCCAAAATAAATCCTGGCCCAAGTAAAATACTGTTACATTTAGACTGTTTTTACAAAACAATTACTCTAGTTAAAATGATAAATTCAGTAGGGAGAGCAAAGTTTCACTTCTGGTTGTGAAGCTGATTTTAAAGCACTGAATATATCTGTACATGAGAACCAATAACAAATAACCAAATTACCCAAAGTTTTCCAGTGATTTTGATTAGATGAATTCTGAGATAGAAAAGAAAATACAGCATGCCAGGCTATGAAACAGTTTTCCTGGCAGCATTCCAGGCTACAAAATGGTTTAAATTGTAGAGCTTATTTACTCTGCTAGTTAAAGGTAATGGAATTAAATACTACAGACACTGTTAACAGACTGTTCACTTGCACATTTGAAATTAGTGCAATTAAGACACTTTTCTTGATATCCAAGCAGTTTTATCTTGCCCAAAAGAGTACACTTCTGTAGACCAAGTGAACAGACAATACCATTCAGGCATCAGATAATTACTTGGACCATACAATTAAAGACACTTAATTCCTGACACTAAACTTTCCAGTTTGAATCCAGGCTATAGCAAGACATTACTCCACGGCAACCTTGTTCAGCTTGGGATGAGTTTGTGGGTCCTTAGCTTTCTCTACAATCTCCAATTGTCAGGCACTTCCAAATCTAATTGTATTTTTATTGAAAAGACAAACAAATAGTACTGGACTAAAATCACCTTGATATCTATTTAGAGGCGTCAACCTGAGTTCCAAAAATGTTGTCATTAATGTGATGGGTTAAGGTTAGTGTGAATTTTCATTGCTGTTTTTTGCACCAGTTTGTGTAAACATACGATGATTTACCCCACAAAAGAAATCCACAAATTTGCAGAGTTCAGCTTGGGCTGGTTTCAAGCTGTTGAAATGAGTGTCTATCTCATGTTGTATAAGGATAGAAATAGAATTCAGAATGGCAAAAGTGAACCCCAAGCATAATTCAGTTAGCAAATACTTGTTAGAAATTCTGGGCCTGTTATATGGAAGGTGGAAATAAACAGCGTGAGATTGATCTAGATTAGGACATTAAAATGTCCTAACATCTTTGTTGTATAAATACTGTATATGAATAATTGTTTAGAAACATCTTAAATATTGCTTTACTTTCATTGACTTTGGAACATATTTAGTTAATTAATGTGGTTATTTATTCCAGTGGTGTCAATTTATCAACTGATCCAGTAACATATTTGTTTGGAACGTAGTGTAAGAAAGCACATCTACTGTAAGTTTTCCTTTGAGTGGTTCCAGATGACAGCCTGACAGACAGAATAAGTGCATATATAATGTAAGACTTATAAAATGCATTTACTATGTGAAAGAATTTGTATTCACATGATGATCCAGCTACTATAGTTCATTTTAAAACAAAGACCTAGAAGAAAAAAGAAGCTCAGAATCTGAGAATAACAGAGAATAAAAAAGCTGATGAAATTCTAATCCTGCAATAAACAGAGATTCAATATGCTGATGGTTCCCTGTTGAGGAACATATGTCCACTCTGCTCCTTAGTTATAGTCTAACATTTATAGTTAGAGAATTAAATCACTTTCATTACAAATGTACATAGAAGCCCTGAGGCAGTCTAGCTTCGATTCTGAATATACAGTATGTCCTCTATGATCATCGATGACATATCAGATTTAGAGTCGTAGTTTAATGTATCAGTGTTTATTTTTCTGTCCTTGATGATAAAGCACTTCAGATGTGTCTGTAGATAGAACCTGATAAATAAGAGGAAGGCCAGTAAGGCTAGCAGGGATCATTCACAGGTTATGAAGAGGAGAGTGGATCCTGGAGGTGATCAGATAATAGTGAATTCCATAGCAAAGAGGGATTTTAAACAGTGACACACAAGCGGCAGCACCTGAAAAGACATATTCTAACAAAACATTACATACAGTATGCTCCTAACATAAACTGGGGCTTCATAGAGGGCCCCTATTAAATTCCATATATTATTGCAAGAAAGGGCTCTGGTTTTAATAATATTCACTGAATGTGTCAAACCTTTCCTTGAAAAAAAATAAGTGAGGGGTGGGGGGACTACTGTTCAACAAGGGAAACAAAAACTTAAAATAGTTTCACATGGGAGTCAGAGGTGTATAAATGAACTGCTTTGTTCTTTGTAGAGTATCACTATGAAAAATTGAGCTCTGTCCGATGGCAAGATAAAATCCCAAGCTAACTGCTTTAGAATAAAATGACGTGAAATATAACACTTGAAGTACACACTTACTTTCAACAATGATCTCTCTTCCAGTCCAGTCATCATTAATAACTTGAATATTCCCAAAATGGACATCACTGAAGAAGATGCGATTAGTTCCTTTTACCCTCTGCTGGTAATCAAAGGCAAGAGCTATCACATTCTTGAAATAGGCCAGATTCTCATAAGGCTTTATTGGGGAGTTTAAATTGCTCTCATCTGAAAGGTGAATGCTCTTCAGTATGGTTCTCTCTGAGTAGAGCAGGTAGCCATCATACTTCTGACAACTGAATCCTCCTTCAGAGAGATACCCGTGAGCACAGGCACATGTCCTCCGCCCATTTCCTTGATAGAAGCAAAGCTGCTGACATCCACCATTATTCCTGGCACAGGGATTTGTACCTGTAGGTATAAAAGATGTTACTGCTCAGTTCAAACTGACAGAGTGCTTTTTAATATTTAAAGCTGTTTGCTCTTCCATGATATTTTGTAATGTTTGATTCATGAACATGGCAAAGATTCTTAGACATGACTGAGGAAATGTTAGACAAATAAGTGTTGTTACGTCTAAAAATCATTATGAGCGCATTCTGTATAACATGGTGTGTCTTCAGACACTTTCATTCTTTGAAATCACTCCAAGAGGCTTGCAGCAAATTGCCACTCTGTGTTTGCAAACAATTTGCAAGTTAATTTCCAAACAAATTATTTTAGAGAGAATATATTTTCTGAGAACAGGTCCCAATGTCAAAGGCAAGAAGAACGTTGTGTCTTTTGAAGTTACAGTTTCAAGAATTTGCAATAGTAATAGTGCTAGTACGCCACATTGCTTCTGTGGGTAAACCAGTGTCATCTTTTTTGACTCAACTCCTGCCCTAGGTAAGCTGAAATGTGTGTTTAACTTGCTATGCAAAGACTTCCCCCCCTCGGCCATTGTGCTGTCATGGGAAGGATTAATGACATCATTAAGCGAAGCATCAACCTTTCTCCCTGGCTCTGTTGAAGACTTTCACATCTTTCAGGTTGATCCCGAGGCCACTCCTCATAGTCAGGGCATCAGTAGCATCATTCTTGAAGCCTCTTCTGATGGAGCCGTTGGCATGTGCTCTGCCATATATAGGGAACAAATGTTTGACAAGAGCTAATCAATGGCCCTAGACTAATTAAAATCGAAGAACTCATTAAAATACAGTAGACAGCTGGCCTAACAGAAGGTGAAGGAACCTACCCTTGTCACTGACATTGAGGTACGGGAGATTTAAATAAAAAGGTCTTTTCCAGGCAAATTACAAGGCTTTGCGGATTCTTATTGTGACCTTGCTAGAAAGTGGCTAATCCTACAAGGGTACAGCAGCTGGCTTCACTATAACGTTTTGAGACTCCAACATTTATGGAAAAATAAATTACCTGTCAGACCAGTAGATGTAAGCCCCATAGACTGCCACTGAAAACATATCCACATTGCTCCCTGACAGCACAATCTCTCGGCTCTCTCCACTCTCAAGGTTGATTCTCTCTATCTTGTCTGTACGGGCATCACACCAGTATAATTTATTTTCCTGAAATGCAATTTTAAAATAAACTTTAGTAGACAGTTCTCACATCTGAGCATTTTTATCAACAAAAATAATACTAAGATCTAAAGAAAATGAAGCTTTCAGAAAGAATAGTTGTGGGTTGAGTGAAGTTCAAAGTGCAGCATAAGCATTTCCTTTTGAACTCACCTTGTAGTCAATGGAGATTCCGTTAGGCCAGGTGATTCCTGAGCTAATAAGAGCAATTTGCTCTGAACCATCTAAACGTGCTCGTCCGATGCAAGGGGTCTGTCCCCATTCTGTCCAGAACAGGTATCTGTGCAGTAGAATTATGTAGATAAACTGATGAAATTAGTACACCACTCTCAGCTTCCACTGTGCTGTTAACACTCACCTCTTATGTAAGAAGGAAATAAAAAAATTACTCATGCTCATGAAAATCAATGCCTGGATTCTTAAAGGATACTACCCAAAAATATCAAAATTGAAATATTGCCGGTTATTGTGCACATTGTTCTTTAGGATTTTTAAAAGCTGTATGTACAGTATATATATATATTTATTTATTTATTTACCTTGCATATATTTTTCTCAGCATAACAAAAATAACAAGGGAACAAAACAAATGAGAAGCAGAAAAGACACAGATTATCTCCTCTGAGGTTAGATCTCAACAACATGCAAAGCAGATTAAATGTTTGCAGTGCAACCAGCCAAAAAAAAATTAAAGAGAGCTAATCCCATAGAGGGAAATATTGCAGTGGTCCATAAGGGAATCTTGAGACCTCTGTGGAGTATTCATGTAGATTTTAAAACTGCAGAATGAGGGGGAAGCGAATTGGTTGTCAAGAGACTAAGGGCAAAGTGAGGACAGAAAGGATGAAAGAGCAATAACAATTAGACCAGAAGGGTGGCCATAACAGCAGGTGCAACAAAATATATTAGGAGAATAAGGATCGTGTTTTACCAGATTGTCAGCTTTCAAAATTGGTAACATTTTGGTAAGACTGGGAGTTATATCATCAAGCCATGTGGGCCCTGTGCCAGAACAGTTCTGGCAGTAATTTAACAACATGAAATTCCTTCAAAATATTCAGTCTTGTTTTGACTCACTGCTGCATTCTACCCAGATCATTACCTACCATCTGTGATTTCAGGGATGCCTAATCACTGTGGCAGAGTTTGCATTTTATCGATCTAGAAATGGACATTTTCATGCACTGTGGTAGCATTTCTTTCCAAGCAACTCAAGAAGGACATTTGTCTGACACATCACTAAACAAATTATCTTTCAATAAATACATCTTTATGTGTACAATGTAAAACTGTTAATTAAAATGTAGTTTCTGAGTCGTACATAATTTAAAAAATAGTCTGAAATGATTTTTTAAAAATTATTGAACCTTTGTGTTTTGTACACTGCAGTTCAGCCACCTTTAAAAGCTTTTATCTGTCATAAACTGAATTTTATCCATCAGTTTTCTAACGTTTAAACAACACTGGGTCACAGAGGAGCTGGAGTTTATCCTGGTTAGCAGCAGGCATAAAGAAAACTGAAATTTATATTCAATATGAATTAGATGATTGAACCAAACTTAAATCTTTTCTTAATCATTCAGTTCTCTTAATCATTCAGTAATAATGATGAACTGGTGCAAAAACCAATGCTGTAATTACTGGGTACAAAGAGAACACCTAAGCATTTTTACTTTAGTTTGCCTGCAGAGAATGATATTGAATCATCTTCCTTATGAGAAATGATCATTAGGCAGGATATGGAAAGGAGAAGAACAAAAGTAGAGCACTTAAGAGATGAACCCACCTGAGCTTTGTATTTTGAGATTTAACTGAACTAAAGAGAATTAATGATGTCTCCCCTTTTAACTTTGGAATAAATTAATTCAATTTGTTTTTTTTTTAACTAGACTGAGGCAGTTGATAGTGAAGTAGTTTATCAGAGCAATCTGCTTTATCACATGCTAGCAGATTCAGGCTTAGCAATGTCATATGACATACATTTAAAGAGGTACTGTATGGCTCATTATTCAGTGGTACACAGGGAAAAGACATTGCAGACGCATCCCATACGTTTCTGGAAAGTCCACACCTCCATCTTCTCATGGTAATAGTACTGGACTAACAAGTACGGTAATATATTTTAGGAAAAAAAATCACAGTAGTTTGCGGTTATATGAAAGTGTTCATCAGTGATTTATGAAACTATCTACCAAAAAAAAATTTTAGACATGAACTTGTTTTATTAAAAATGTGAGAAGTGTCTGTGAAGCTGCTTTTACTGAAAAATTTCTTTCACAAACGTTTCCCCTGCTCACACACCTGTGCTCTTCTATTTATCCAAACATATTATTGCTGAGAAAAGCTCCATTTCTGGGGGAAAATGCATTAATCTTGTGGTTGGCACAAGCATGGTGTCGGCTGAGGCACATGTGCTTTCTGTTACCGCTTTTGAATGCCTACAAAACTAGCCAGTTCTTAAAAAAAAAAAAGCATTAACTGTTTATACACTGAAATATTTGTCTTGCTTTCTTTTAGAAGACTGCAAGACATTTCAGTTAAGTGGAAATTTTGCGAAACATTTTAAAAATCTCTGCCCTGCAATGGATAGGCCCGGGGTGTATCCTGCCTTGCACCGGCTGCTTGCTGGGTTAGTCGCCAGCTCCCTGTGATGCTATATTGGATAAATTGGTTAGAAAATGGATGGATGGATTAAAACAATCTAATTTTTCTATTCTATTATAATTTTTATTGCTTATGACATAATTTTATTTCATTCAAATTGACCTTGGTACATTTTGTTCAGTTATACAAATAGTGTACATGTACCTTTGTTTTTTAAGAAAAATCTATACATAAACATATGAATAATAATTACTTTACCCTTTCTCTGGATGCACTGCAATGGCTCTTGGTTGATCAAGTCCTTCAGAAATGACCACGAATCGGTACAAACCATTGAGTCTTGAAACCTCAATGAGATTAAAGCCGTGGTCAGTCCAATAAATGTTACCTTTTAAAGCAGACAAAAATAAAAATAACCAGAAAATAAAATGTATGCATATTGAAAGGGACAGAAATCTATTAAAGACTATTTCTAGTCTCCACAATGTAAAACAAAATCAGATTTCCTAACCAGCTATCCAGTCTACTGCAATGCCTTCGACCCTTCCAACCCCATTCGTGATGATGTCTTCCTTCCATGTCTGGTCCCTCCTGGCTCTGCTGATTCTATTTAAGCCCATGTCGGTCCAATAAATGGTATCATTTTCTGTAAAAAAGGATATTTCCAAAGTAAACCACTGACAGCAATTACAAATCGCAGAGAGTTAGCAACTACCGAAATGCTGTTTTCACGTTTCATGTTAATAAATATGGTCCTGCCTTTATTTGGTGCTGTTCCCATGGAATCTGAAATGTCTTTCAGAACGTGCTATTGTCTTCAAATAATTTCTATGCGTTGCCACCCATATCAAGATGTACTTCACAAGCTGTTCAGGGCAGAGCAATAGTCAGTTTCGTCTCCCCTTGCATTAACAGAGCATGGTGAGTGTGGGAATTACCATTCACATAATGACAGGAGAGTCCCTGCTGGAATGATGAGAGAGTGGCCTGCAGAAGCTGACATACTCCTGGGAAGTGCAGTGAAATGAAATTAAAAACATGTACAATGCAACTGGTGAATATAAGAAAACGTTAATCTTAAAAACCATAAGATATGGAATATTAATAGACTGTAGGTGGGGAAATTTGGCAATTGGTGTTTAAGCTGTGTTTCTGCCCAAAGATAATTTCAGGGTGTCTCAGTGACTACAGCACAGAGTTACTCATATATATGCAACCATCAAAAATTCTGCACTGGCACTCTAATAATATGACAGTAATGAACAATGGAAACCTATTGTTTTAAGCTTTTTAAGAATGTAATGCAAATATTGTGCAAATACAGTAAACAGTTGTTCCATATTGTTAAACCGGTGTTTGTCTTTTCAGATGTTATACAGTATGTAATGCAAAATGAAACTTATAAACGAACATGGCATATAACTATTGTGAGTTGCTTTGGACAAAAGACTAAATCATCAAATGTGAGGAATATTTCTTTGCTTTAAACCTTTCTAAAAATTCCCACTTAAATGCATTAGTGTCATGAACTTGAATTTCTTTAGTTTCTCCATTTCCTGTGTTGTGCATGTTGTGCAAGTAATGCATGACTTGCTGTCAAACCTGAAGGTTAAATGTCTTTAATAAACTGTCAAAGAAAAAAAATCATTATGAAAGCTTTGTGCATTACATAATTAATCTTTTAATTAAAATAAAATTGAATTCCAGAGCAATTTCTTAGACAAGTGCATGTGCTTGTATATGCTGATATAAAAATAACTAATTATATACAGCACTTCATTTGCACAGTGGATCAAGGTTTTCAACATCGTAAAAAAAACACCACAATAAATTCCCCCAATATCTATAGAAGTAGGACAGTTATGCAACTACAGTACATTTCTATCTAAATTCTTTACTTTACCAGTACCCTCAAATCATATTGTTGTTCATTGATTCCTGAGGTATTAAGCTCTTCTTCAGAGTCTGTATAGTCCTGAACCTACACTATTCTGCTATATTTATTTTGTGCGTTTCTAATTGCCTAAGGAGAGGTTCTTAAAATACCTTGGCCTTCTTGCGAATAGAAATAAGCATCCATTCCTTTGCTTTATATCTGGGGTAATTTTCATGCTACAATATAAAAGCCTGTCCTTTCTGACACATTGGCTACATTTCTGATTCAATTCCCCCTCACATTTCCAGTACCTTTTCATATGCCTTAGCCTCAAACTTTAATTGCACACCTTCTACACTTGACTGCCTTGTGCACTGACTAATATAGAGGCAGAGGTATTAGTGTACAGTATATATTGCGTATTTGTATAGAAGATTTTAATTAACTGATCAACTCAGATATAAAAACAGATATTGTTTTTATTACCTACAGTATCTACAGGCACTCCAGCAACAGCCCCCATACCACCCAGGGAAGCACGGGACACATAGACAAGGCAGCACGCTCACCTGTAGAGTTCATTCGAGATGCGCAATCTCAAAGTTAGCAAACTCATCATGCGCTGACATCACTACAAACCCAAAAGCCAAGAGACTTTGGCTAAGACCCTCTCCCTCTCTATCAGTTGTGTGCAATCACTTCAGGAATTCTGGACACAAGGTAGTGGCATGAACAAATTGCTCATTTTTCTGCATATGAATAATTCCAACACAGCATTCACTCAGCAGAACACGGAAAGGACTGCATATGAGAGGAGGCAAAGTGGACAATATAGCTCATTTGGGAGTTTGTAGTTAAGTGATCTAAGGATCTCATTCAGCCATTCTTGACATAACCAGTGTATCAGTGTCACCAATGTGGCTGGATAGCTTGTTCCTTACTCCCACAACCCTTTGCATAAAGTGCCTCCTATTCCCAGTTTTAAATGCCCACTGGGGTCCTCTGGCCCCAGCTTCATTGCTGATTCTGACATCACATCACATGGCATTTTTCACGGTTAGTTTTTCCATAAACCTTCCTGCCAGGCCTGTTCCCCTGCTGTAAGTTTCTGCCATGTGCTTTAGTATGGTGCTGTTGAACACCTCGGATTCCATTGAAATACAACCATATTTCATTCACTCTTTTGACAATTTTTTTTAGAGGCTATACTTCGACAAAATTGTGCTACTTCTTCAAACATGGTGACAAACTTTCAGGCCTGTGCTTTTTTAAATAGCTGTATTTTAGCTGTAGCTAAATTTTAAAATGATCGAAACTTACAAAGAACAAAATTACACATCACACCAAATGTACACATCACACAAAAAAGCATTTTACTCAAATTGCTGAAAGGAGCACTTTATTTCAATTGCACTGTAATATACAGTATCTGTTTCCCTTTGGGTTCTATAGTTCCTCAGCATTGTTTATAGTGTATGTTAAAGGTGAGCATGCAATTTCCAGTTAGGGCTCATGCATTACCAAAGTAATCATGGAAAACAAAGGATCCAACATGTTTTAATCCACCTCTGTAATCATTCTCTCTTCTTCAGGGATAAAGCAAGCAAACATGTTTTTCTCCTTCACTTACTCTGTCAATGGAGTGAAACAGAAGCACCTAAAGCTCATTGTGAATCCTTTGCATAATTGTATAATAGCTTTTCTTTAAGAGTAAAACATTACTAAAGCATAACAAATGCTCAGTTTTAAAACCTGAGTACAGCATCTCCATTAATGCTAAAAGCACTTTAAGAACATAAGAGGCTTTTCCATTTCTATGTACAATGCCATAGTAATTCTCAGAAACCAGCTGTACATATAGTGCCCTCCAATATGACCAGTAAATACACCTGGTAGTCAACTGTCTCAATACTTATGTTCTCTTAAAATGGGGGCATGGAACACAAAAGTATTATTATTCTAAAATGCTAAAGCACATATGTTTAGAAATACCCAGACATAGAAGGTGACATTCTATACTTTTGCCTCATATTAATCTTTTCACCTCAAATCTGAATTGCTTGAATGTACAGCAGATATATCAATTTTGACTTCACTGTCCCAGTACTTATGGAGGTCACAGTATGTAATTCATTAACCAAAATACATTATAGTGAAAGAAAGCAATGAAACACATTATTTTTTCCTATTTTTTACATTTTTAAATAGTACATAAATTACAACAACATTAATACTAATAATAGTAATAATCATAGTAATAATCATTACTGTTGTAAAAATTTAAAACTTTTTGACTAGTATTGAATATCATTGTGATTGGCACTTTTGGTGAAAATGCAATTACTCATATAAAGCGCTATGAAAACCCCCCTATTTAGTCCACATTTAGACCTGAAACCACATTAGATATTCGATTGAGTCTGAATAAAAGGCAAACCTGACTTGATAACATACACCACAAAAGCAAACTACAGTATATACTGTACAGATGCAGCCATCTAGAATATACATCAAATGTCATGTCAGTGGAAAGTGCACTGCAGTATATTGTGTTTCAGGTCAGCATGCTGACTTCAGCCCTTCACTGCTCATAGAAGATTGCTAGGTCTTCTATTGTTCCACTAGATGTAACTGAAACAGCTACTTCATTTAATCTATTTTTTAAGTCTAATAATCGTGTTTCTTGAAAATAGAACAGTACATATATTATATAATCATATAAAATACCCATCCCAGCTAGCATTTTAAAATGTAACATGGCTGTACAGTTTTTTTTTCTGAAAAGATTACATCATGAATAGGGCCTGGATAGAACCCTGGTTTTTCAGTGTGCCTGGTTTCACAGTAATTCTCTGAAAACACTGAATGGAGTGACATTGAACTAATCAAAACTTAAATTGTTAATATTGCAGTTTGACGTACAGCGAATCCTTAAACTACTACAGCTGCATGTGGTTGTCAGACAGTACAGTATTAAATGTGTATTAAATTGTTAATATTGAAATTTGCCATTAAGGTACAGTACTGTACTGTATGTACTGCTCAAAAAAAGTCATGGCATCTCAATGAAGGCAGTCTGCAAAACTTGTAATACTGTAGTTAATGTACTGAATGGATATCTGTGGATATTACAGTACATCATGGAATTCCTTAAAGTGTGTGCCACATGGGGAAATATATATTTTTCTCCATGTATTCAGCTCATACATGATGAAAAACTACATACTGTGAAGGAGACGACTCCTGGGCTGTTTTAAATAGATCCTTTAAAAAACGAAAATTATTTTAGAATTGGAAAATTAAGAAATGTCACTCAAGAAATATACTGTAAATGTATTCCTCTTTTGTCTCTGTCTCCTCAAGCCAGAGTAAGTAGTCAAAATATATAACAAAGCCTGAGGGGTGGCCTGCAGGAGAGCATGATTGAAAGGCAGATCAGCAGATTAGTGTGAAACACAACATGATAATTCCTGAAATTCAGGGAAAAAATGTACTTGTCACTAGCCACGAACAAAAAAACATATGAGGTACACAGCAATTAAATCACAAAAGCGTTTTAACACTATTTACACTTATTTTTTCATTACACTACATTTACCAGATATTAAACTGAGAAGAAAATATTGTTTTATTAAAATTCATCAGATATCCACAGTACAGTGCGTTAGGTGGAATAAACTGTGTACTTGCACCCAAGCCGGGGAGCCAGGAAGTGGGAGGGAGAAGAAGTAACATACTGTCCACACAGTCCATACAGCCACCAGCGGAAAAATCCAGTGTTTGAAAAGAGCTTTCATGTTTTTTTTCATTCTAACTGGCCCAGTGGTCTTTTGATTGATAATGATATCAGTTTTTCATTAAGCCTCAAAGTGGGCATCATAAACACAATAAAGAGCGTAATGAGTTTCTGATTTGTGCTTCTTGCACCAGGGATTATAAAAGCAGTGTGGCCTATCAACTGCACCATCCACTGCAAGGCGACAATGCAACCCTCAAGATACAAGACACTCTTTCTTGCATTGCATTATTGAGGTTCAAGGCTGCACATTCTTCACTACCTTACCTTTATCATTTATACATCCATTTATATTGCGACATCATATTTCAAATGTCAATTACTTTGTGAGAAAAACACAGAACAATTATTACAACTGACATTTTTAGAAACCTACTTTTTATGTGCAGTTATCCACAGGAAAGAATAGGGTGGAACAGTGGTGTTCATCAGGTCACACTGTGAGAATTACTGTTCAACATTTATTGATGCTAAATTCCTGCTCATGACCACATAAAGTAGATTGCCACAAACTCAAAATATGTTTACTGTATGCATTGTGTGAGTATTGGATTCCACCTTTCTTTGAATAAAGAAAAAACCCAAAGAAAAACAAACAATTATATATACTATTTGTAATGTAATGTTCCCTCTTATAGCTAAACTGGCAACTCTTGTGGTTACATTAAGATATCATTTTGAATAGCTGGTCCAGCTCTATTTGTATTATGAAACAGTCTATTCAAAATTGAACATGAAGCATTTCCTTCATAGCATGTACTGTATTGTAAATAAAATGTCAGTGACAAAAGCCAAATATATGAACAAAAAGACTACAATTCCTAATGTGCAACACAAGAGAATCACATGAAGTCATTTCCACAGACACCCAGATAGTACCGGACAGTACAGTATAGCATCAATTAATATCATTCCTGCAGATTCCCTTCGTCTAGATTAAGTTATATATTATAAACAAGGAGACATCTGCATGACACCTTGTTCATTATGACTGAGTTTTTTTTTGTTTTTTGCTACTTTTGGATGTGTTCTTGTAAAAATGCGATTGTAAGTCACTTTGGATAAAAGCATTTGTCAAATGAAGAAATGTAAATTTAGACTAATAGTACAATTAAAACAATTATTTGACAAAAACGTGAGCACTAGTCATCACACTTGCCTAATGTTTTCATATATGGAGAAGTTTTATCCTTAGAAAATAAATTATACTATAATGTATATAGCAGAGTTAATAAAGTACAGCTTTGAACTGGTTGATTTCTACCCTTATCTCTATAATAATACAAGTTGTGTGATTGAAACCTTACCAAATGATAATCTATGTTAATGCATACTGTACAAAACCCTTCTGCTGCCCCAGTTAAGCATAACAGACATCTGTGAGTGGAAACAATTTTATATCATAACAGTTATATACATGTATGGAGAGAGGCTTGAGTGAAGATCTGCATCAGCATGCATGCTGCAAAGGAACATTGCTTAATTCCTTTCTAACAATGCAAAGAAAAAAACACAATTCTTCAACTGCTCAACTCAACAGCTGAAACATTTTTTATCTTCCATTTTATAGAAAGAAATACTACTCACTTTGCATGCATATACGTACACTATATATATATAGTTACAGCTACAGAAGTGGCTGTTGAAGTCTCTCAGGATCTAGGAAACAATGAGATAATACTGAGGTGTCTGCCTGAGAGACAACAGATCAAGAGGAATCTGGTTTACTGTGGTTAATTTAGTTCTTTATTAGTCGTTAATCATTAAGAGTCTTCATCAGTGAGAAATCCGGGATAAAGGAAGCAGGTAACGAAGCAGGAGAAGAACACGTAAGGAAGAGTGACACAAGGAAAGAGAAGGAAATGTGTGCCAGGTGAGAGGACCTTGTTAACATCAACCAGATTCTAGTTGTGTTTGAGCTTTGTTAAGAGAGCTTACTGTTTCTTTTATTATAGGAAACTCTTATTATTCTTTATAAATGATAAATTATCTAAGTAGCTGCTGCTGGAAGAGGTGTTAGTGGGCCAGTAGGGGGAGCTCACCCTGCAGTCTCTGTGGGTCCTAATGCCCCAGTATAGTGACGGGGACACTATACTGTAAAAAGGCGCTGTCCTTCGCAGGACACGTAAAACCGAGGTTCTGACTCTCTGTAGTCATTAGACATCCCAGGGCATTTCTTGAAAAGAGTAGGGGTGTTTCCCCCTGGCTTTCTCCAATCATGGCCTCCTAATAATCCCCATCTCTGTACTGACTTCATCACTCTGCTCTCCTCCCCACTGAGAGCTGGTGTTCTGGCGCACTACTGTATACTGTAAGTCACTGGGATAGATAGATACAAACAAGCTTTTCACAGCTCGAGTGGTAGGATTTCCATCACAAACGTATCTGACAGTACCAATAACATTGTTTGGAGCAAATGGTCACCAAACCCTTTAAAACATGACTTGATTTACCTGCATGGAAGTCCACACCCACAGCAAACAGGGTTCCTGTTATCGGCATAAGAGCTTCTGTACTGTCACCGGGGTCCAAAGAGATTCCTCTGATTCCTTCATGAATTGAGTACATCAGGAAGGATCCAAGGCCTTTGTTTGAAAATAAGAAGAGTGCAAAATTAATTTCTAGCAAATCAAATATTTTTCTGTTTGTTTTTGAAGGCACAAACTGAAGCAAAGCAAGGTTTTTTGGGATTTAACTTCCCCTCTACCTTCACAAGACATGCGGTCACTTCTCAGGCTATAGCCCAGAGTACACAGGCAGCTTCTGGAATTCTCAGATGTTGGCAAACAGAGCTGGGAGCAGCCTCCGTTGTTTAGCTGACAAGGGTTTCGTCCTGAAGGAAAAACAAGGTGATACCATAAACCCTGGACATCTCACCCAGACCTGTGGCTTCTCCTTCCTTAAAAACATCAAACTGAGAACTGGATGTCTACATAGCAAGATAAGGATTGTGCAAAATTAATTTGTGAACTCTAGTTAAAATTAAATAAATTGAGTAACATTTCCATTTCTTATTAGTGTTCTGATAAGTCATCAGTAACACCAGCAAGTGACATCTGGACCTTTCCAATGGAACCTACGGATTTTATTCTATAGTTGCTGTTTACTGTGGCCCAGGGTTGAAATTCTATCTGCAATTATCTAGAAGTTTGGATACAACCACTTCTGTAGAGGAAAGGATCCATTTCCTTCACCCTGTCAGTGCAGGATATTGCTCTGAGTCCAAGATTGTACCTGTTTGCTTACAGTACTTCTGGATTCATCCCAGAACTGCAATAGTTTTTGTGACCAAAATATTATAAATTAAGCCTTTAAAGAAATGCTTTGTACAATTTGAACAGAACATTCTTTCATTTAAATCCTACAATTTTAACTTTATACAGTACATCGTATTTATAATGGAAGATATAAATCTACTTAAGTTATCATCAGACGGCACAATAAAACATTTTGTAATATTTAATATGTATTCTGCTATGCATTTTCTTAAAAAGTACCAATTTCCCTTCAGAAGTCCATGTTGGATATTAAATTAACATAAGTAATTATATCAATACCATCCATTGGATGCTAAAAGCCATTTATGTAGGTTTTGATAAGGCTCTTAGCAGGGTTGAAATAAGTTTTCCCATACACATTACTTAATCCATTTATTCATTTAAAGAGTAAACATATAAGTATGCTTTGTTGTTCTATAGATTTGACTGTGAATCCTGAATATCATAAAGTACAATTCATACAAAATAAATCACTAATGTCATCCTCCTAGGTATAAGCTGACAAACTTTAAATTCTATTGTTAAGCTTTTAATTTCTCTTTTAATTAAATATAATTCAGTTTTCATACATAACAAAACCATGGGTAGGTGTTCTTAAATATTATGGAAGCTCTAGGCTTTTGGGAGTCTAATTAAAGATAAAGCTGGGCTACATGGTAAAGAAATTATTCACGCAAATGATTCAGTTCATTTGAAGTACAATAAAAAATATGCCATCAGACTTTTTTCATAATCAATCATTGTGGAAGAGAGAGGATTTTTTTCATTTTTCAGTGACTCATCCATATCATACTGGCACCTTTATCTACAATATAGACTGTGCACCCATGTGCATGCATAATTGTGCAATTATGTAATTACTTTACATGCTTAAAATAATTTTCAAATTAAAGGTGGTGCTTTCTAAAGTTACATTTTCTCTTAAAGATATACTGTATGAAATATTTTCCAGGAAATTCTATTTTATCTCTGGACCAAATGGAATTATTTTTCAACTGATTTGAATTAAGTTGTTTCTTCCTTCATACAAGCAAGCAGGGGATATATCTGAGATTTAAAAGCAACAGCCTCTCAAGTACTTCTCTCTGTTCCTTAGACACCTCATCACAGGCACCTCAGATGGCTAATTTGAAGCAGAGTAATGAGACATCGCTTTACTCCCATGTGGTCTGTGTCAAAAAGATAAATGAAGTAGCTAATTGGTCTGAGAAAGTTTGGAGAGGTAGTAAAAAGATTTACCTTAAAGACTCCTTAATTGCCATTTTTTATACTAATGGAACGTTTAAGGGATCTGCAGCAATACTGTTAATGGACCCATCATTAATATGGATGATTCTGCCAATATTTCACTAAATTGAAGGCCAGGCTTCCACTGTACTTAAACTCCAAACCATGCTTTATGGATTAAAAGGTGTTTAGTTCCATTTCTAGTTTCTCAAAGCAATGCAAAAATCAGAAACACAAATTTTGCTAACGTGTCTGTAGTCAGGTGTTTCATCTCCTTGACTGGAAGAGGGCTGAGTAATAGTCAATCACTCAATGACTTCACCAGGTTACAGCATTTCTGCTTTGGTTTCAGGCAGCTTATGTGAGATCCTCAAGCTTGATTTAGCTTATAATGCACAATGTCTTTCAGCAAGAAAAATGACAAACGTTTATTTCGTTTAGCTCATGGAAAGATTAAACTAGAAGGGGAGAAAAACTGATTTATAATATTAATGATATCACTAATAAAAATGTGAGCCATCATGACATTAAAAGGACATTTTTGCCCCACATATTAAGTCTATTAACAAGGTGACAATGTGTAACACACAAACCAAATCCAATTAGGGCTTCGAAGGTCTAAATTTCTACATTTAACTTTATCTTCAGTACCTTTCGTGCTTTCATGTAGTCAATAGAAACAAAGCCAGTGTTACCTTTCTGTCCCTCCTTGTCATATAGTTTCATGTGAACCACGCCTGAGGTCTTGTTTCTCAGAATCACTGGGTTTCTCCCATCTCTCTTGTTGACAGTGCCAAGCCGGGCTGTGCTTTCATCCGCCCACCACAGTTTCCCACCTAGAACACAGCTCAGCGTTAAAGACTGTGAGGCACTTGTTCGTTTCAAGTGGTGCCTCTTGCATTCAGGAACGTTCTATACATAATTCAATAAATCACTCTTTCTGGACAGTGTTGTTAAAACATCACCTTTACATACATACACTATGATACCTGTACAGGTACTTTTCTGAGACATCTGAGTTACCACATGATGTTCTGTCAACTAATGTCACTCCTCACATGAAGGGGCAAAAATAAACTTGTACTTTTCCTAGGGCTGCAAACAATACAACATGAGCAAGAATGGGAGGAATAAACTGCAGATGCATTATGACAGTGAAGGTTTGATTTTCGAATTTTCTTGTGTCATTTAATAAACATGCATTATTGTTTTTGAAACACAAATGATTAAGTAGACCCATTTACAGTAGACACACAAACAGAAGTTATGGAATGTGAGATTAAACTGCAAGTAGAAAAATAGGTTTATATGCAAAATATGTCTTGCAGAAAAATTAAACCTTTTCCTGTTTCACTAGAACAAAGAACCTAAAAATTAAGCATAGTTAACTTGTTGTATGTTCACAAAAAAGGTTTCTACAGTTTCCACAAGCTTATAGTGTTAATATCAATAACATTATCTTATATACAGTATGTACATCATTAAATACATGATATTGAATATATATCGCAGTATTTAAATCTCTAATTAATCATCTTTAATGTATCATACAGAACTTTCAATAGGAGACATATTCAGGGGGACCAGGAGCAAAGATTAACTTTAAAAGGTCATTGTGCATGGTTAATGCATTAGTTTAAATTGGAGATTTGAAGTCCAAATATAAAAAAGAACCAAAAGTATCACATTCTTAAAGTAAAATAGTTAAAAAAATAGGAACATTATTAAAACCTAAAAGTAACAAGACCCTTATAAAACAGTTATAAATCACTCAATCATCTTTGATTTATTGACAAATAGGTTTAAAGGGTGACAAAGCTCCCTATTTATCTTTTTTATCAAAGAAAATAATATATTTTCACACATCCTCACAACTTAAGCCCATGTATGCTTACTGGCAGTGATCCTGTCTTTTGGGAATAAATGTATTTGTTTGTGAAACATACTGTACTGCATGCAATGCAGTGAGGGACACCACACACATATATATCAGTTGATTTACATACAGGCCAATACGAATGTGAAAAGAGCTTTACTCCGCCAATGCAATAAAAAAGGAGAAAGATTTAGACTGATTGTTCTGGAAGCTGGCAAAGTGAGTCTGAAAGCATAGAAAGAAAATATTCGAAGAGCCTCTAAAGTCTCTTCCCTGGGGGAAAAGAAAGAACCTAAGATATCTGGCGCATTTAGGAATTTTATTATACGCTTACAGCACAAGAGGCAGGGCAAAGCGTAAACTGCCTCAGTGGTCCAAAAGTCACTGGAGCACAGCCCCTCGCAGGCCGATCGACAGTAAGCTTTTGCCTCGGAGCTGAAGTGGCTACAGCAGGGTAAGGTGAGAGAGCGGCGTCTTCAGACTCCGTGCACACCACAGGTCACTATGCAGCATGCGTCTTAAGGCCCCATGTGAGAAATGAAAGGCTAAAAAATGAAAACCCCATACAGTACATCTTTTGTACAAGTGACTGCTCGTGTTTTTGATTGTATAATTAAAGATAATGGTATTTTCACAAACAGCTCCCAAGATCTCACTGAGATGAAAGCCATGAAATTAATTAAAATGTGGAAATAATGTATTAATAATTAATGCCCTGTGCTGTTTGTACTACCTATTTGTGGACTGCTTTGGATGCAGAAGTTGATTATGCATGTTAATATTAACCGAAAATGAGAAATGTACATTCACTATGAAATGTATGTAATTATAATTATCAGAAAACATAATAATTCAGGAATTACTAAAGTCTTAAATTGGACGATATTATTTAAAATCTTTATACTGCAATAATAGTATCCACAGAAAAACAGAACAGGCAATAAACCTTTAAAATCATATAGCATATAATAAATAAAATTAAATACTGGAAGTTGGGAATAGGGAAAAACTCCTAACACATAACCTGTGCGAAACAGTAACAATTAGAAAATTATGGCCATGTGTTAAAGACATTCAAGTGTTGATCAGGACATTGAAAATCAACACTCTAGGTCATAGAAATTATGTTATATTTGTGCAATAAAATAGTTAAATACTTTTGGTCACCACATGATATAAAAATATTGCTTTTCAATCAGTTCAGAGAAGAGCAACCAAATATAATCTAGGACTTAAAGGAATGCTCTCTGTTGACAGGCAGAAGGAACAGAACAGAAATGATATCAAGCGGATCTGATTCCTGTATTTACAATCCTGAAAGGCTGCAACAAAGCAAACACAGTGGAATTCTTCAGAATCAAAAGTGGAACACAATGCAGAACACACAAATGGAAAGTCCCTGGAAGTGCCTTTGACTTGAAAAACTGAGAACAGGAGGTTGTTACAGTACCAGCATCCAGCCACCAGAGGGCACCTATACCGCCACATCAAACCTCATCTTCTCAGGGGAGGCGTAGATCTTCCAGACTTCATTAGCCAATCTCAGGACTTCTTCATCACCACGCCTCCCCTCTCCAGCCTACTTAAGCCCTGAGCTCTGCTCCAACCCAGTTCAGTATTAGGTGTTACTTGGTGGGCTACTGTACACACCACCACAGCCTTTTAAGAACTGTCATTGCACTTAATAAAATGGCCAGTCTAAAGTGTCAAATTAAATTATTTTATATAATCTTACTAACAGTAAATTAACCTGATAATCCACATCTTCATTCATCATGGCTTGAACAAAACTATTAACTTAATGTAAAGAACAGAGAGCCTCACTGAGAGGTTGGGTTGTCCAACTCTCTTCCTATGGAATTTAAAATTTATCAATTGAACTCAATACCATACTATAGGTTTTTCTTACTATAAATACAGTAGCACTGTGCTTAATTCTTAGCTTTTCCAATTTCTTGACTCATGATAATCTTACTACTGCCCTCAGTTGTCTTTGTCACAATGTCTTTTTCCTCCCTGATAGGATTTATGATGATATGTTATCACTCATCTAAACCAAACATACTGGAATACAAAGATATTTTGAGAAAGTGAACACTAAATAGGTCTGGCAGTTTTACAACACTACAAAGCAAAACCACCTAAAGAAATTTCAAATTCCATTTAGCACATATAAAGTCACTGTAAGGCAGTAGTGTTGTGCAGCAGTTTGATCTGCTGATGCCCAACCAGTGAACAATGGGTTCAAATTCTAGGTAGGATGCTGTTGTACCCTTGAGCAAGGCTTTTAACTCAGAGTCAGTGCCTTGATGTACAGTACGAACAGGTTTCTAGGTCATCATTTTAAATGACCGTTTGTTCTCCGTTTGTTCACTTATCGGCTTAAATTAAACAAAAAGTAAACAGTGTTCCCATATAAGATACACTTATCCATCTCATTGGTCACAGTATACAGTAGCTTCTCACGGGAAAGAATTTGTAAACAGAATGAGCACTTTCACAAGTTTTAACAGTACATACTGTATGGAAATTGTTACTAGAGATGCACTGTCACCGATGGTAACAAGATACTGTAAGAACAGATTAATGTAAGATGCATCAGTATCACTTGAGCATTGATGTTAGTTAACCAATGACAATATCACTTTGGGAGTCATATTTTCACAGATATTTTAAGGAATGGGGTCTTGTGTATAAAGATTTATTCTGGGTAAACAGCTTAGGCAGTACATTATATGTTTTGTTAACAATGTACTTAGTATTCAGTTGAGATAGGTTTTCTTTCTATTGTCAGCTGCAGAGTTATCTGTTCTACACAATCTGAAGCCCATCTATATAGACCAGAACAGCCCTGTGTGGATGTTTACCACTGCTGGTTTGTGTAAAGTGCAGAGAGCCTCATCAGCTTTACATTTAGCAGTGAGGATCACCCCCACACACACGTTTTCGAGAGGAATAGATCAAATGGGCAAATCCATTTCAAAGTTGCTTACAGAAACTCATACTGTACCTTAAATTTGTGTTTCGTTTACATTTATGTATTTCAGCATACTGTAATGCAGTACTTAGACAGCAGAGCATGCTTTATCTCCAGAGTTTCCTCTGCTGTTATCTCCCCCTCAGGCACTATTTTGTGCACATCGCTAAACAGGGCTAAGGCTAGCTCACCACATCTTTCTTCAATCGTTCACATACAGTACAAGTGATTACAACTTGACCAGCTAGCATATAGATCCACCCACAGTACATGGGTGTTAAAATGATTTTTTGCAAAGTCATTTTTTGCAGTAGTCGATTTCAATCCAGAACAGCACACAGCCACTATGCAAACTTTGCTACTGTATGTACAGTTTGTTTGTATTTTCATTGCAGTAAAAGTAATCTTAACATGAGATCAAAATCTCATGTAGAACATGTTCAAATGAGATCTTTAAAAGTTTTATATTTGGTAGGATTTCTTTCTTGATATCCTCTGGAAGAGCCCCACTAATATGAGTTATATGTTATCTTATCTGGTCCACACATTCTGGGCCCATGGTTGTCAAGTCTGATACACCTTTTTCTGTGAATTGGGGAAATAATTGAGGAGTACATGACAACACCATGATAACATCATAATCACACTAAACTAAAGTGGCTGCTAACACAGCAATAGATAGCATGTCCTCCAGAGGCTCAGTAGTAAATCCCTTCATCAATTCTTTCCCAATCAAGAAGATGGAGGTATTGAGGTCAAAGACTTGTAGATCTCAATCTTCTTCAATTTACACATAGTGCTCCACAAAGATGATACCAGCAGTAATCCTTAAATAAAGCAATACAAAAAACTCATTAATGCACTTGCAATGAATTATCAGTGGGGCAAAAATCAAACTACAATATGTTGCATGTCACAGGCTAGCAATGACTCTTGTACTGACAAGATTATCCAAAACATACTCCATGTAAATGATTAAAAAG